CGCGCCATCATAAAATCGTGATAAAATTCGGCTTTTGCGGCACGCAACGTCCGCTTCTTTTGCGCAATTAGTGAAATTGACCAGTTACTTGCAATACTAAAAACATGATAAAAGAAGTGGTAAAAACATGCAAATTTCGTTCACAAACTGCAAATGTTGCAGAACCCCAGCCGTCCATCTCGATCCAGCCGCTCCAGGCCCCGCCGATGGTCGCTGCACCGGAATGTGAGAATCTCTTGAGTTTTCTCGATTTAACGATATTCAGTCCAATGGCAACAAATCGATCTAAATGCCGGTCCGCAGCAGCCACAACAGCAACAGCAGCCTCAGCCGCAACAACAGGAAACCTGGACCGTTCCCACCCCGATCCAGGCCCAGGATGGTTTGTCGTGCCTACTAGAAAATTTTTATCACGCATTTCAGCTCCTGTGGCTCCGCAAGTCCCGCCAACTTGGACGAGTCTCCCCGCCCAAAACTGGCAGCAGCAGCAGCAGCCAGCTGCCGCTCCGGCCCCGCCAGCTGATCAGCAACAATGGCAGGCTCCGGCTCCACTTCCGGAACAGAGCGGTGAGTGTTAGAGAGCGAGATAGAGAGAGGAGAGAGAGTGAGCGAGAGAGTGAGCAAGAGAGAGAGCGATACAGAGGGATAGGGCGAGATCACGACATTTTTAGCTCCCATCGCCCCAGGCTGCCCCTCAAAACTGGGAAGTCCCTGCTCCGATCGCCCCAGTAGCTGACCAGCAACAACAACAGCAGCAACCCTGGACCAACCCCGCCCCTGTTCAACCAGCTCCGGCAGCTGATCAGCAGCAATGGCAGGTTCCGGCCCCGCTTCCGGTTCAGAACGGTATGGTTTCGTAGCTTTAAGGTTTTGGTATGACGAAGATCTAGCAGATTCAGCAGATCTACATGTCAATACGTATTTCTGATAGAACTACTATTTTTCTGAAACCCTTTCATTGCTTATGAAATTTCAGCCCCTATCGCCCAGCCCACCCAAAATTGGGAAGTCCCTGCTCCGATTAGCCAGGCCGCTCCTCAGCAGCAGCAACAGCAGAACCAGTGGACCGTTCCCGCCCCACTTCCGGTCCAGGATGGTAACAATTTTGCTCGTCAGCTCCGTTAATACAAGTTTCAGTTCCCATCCAACAGTGGCCCGCCCCGGCCCCGGTTCAGAATTGGCAAGTCCCGGCTCCGGTTGCTCAAGCTCGTAAGTTTTTCGATTTTGAAGTTGATTCTCGAAAAATACTGAAGTCCTAAAAAATTCCATTTTATAGCGCAACTCCCACTGATTCCTCTGAACTTCCCGCAGCCGTCGTTTGGTAAGTTGATATAGCGGCATCTTTTTCTTACGCATTGGCTCGATCGACTCCCTCGGGCTCTCTCTCACTTGCTCTCTCTCTCTCTCCCTCTCTCTCGCTTCACATCTAGCTTCAGCACCACCCGTCGTTTTCCCTCAAGCCCCGGTCGCACCAGCGGTCGGACGTCGTGGTCGCTGCCAGGCCGGCAAACTCTACACCCGCGGCGACTGCATGGACACCTACTGGCAATGCACCAACGGTGTCGACTTCGCCCAGTTGACGTGTCCACAGGTTCGTAAATAGTTTTGGAGCATATCAAGAGCCCATTTTTAGGGCCAAGCCTTCGACCAGGTTTCCCTCTCTTGCCAGCTCTTCGAAAATGTCGCTACCTGCGTCAACAAGGATTTGCCTGCCCCGTTCTACGTCAACAACGCCGCCAGGTTCCCGAAATTCAGACCCCCGCCGAGAGATGAGGTCATCGAGTAGGTCTTTCAAAGTGCTTCTGCTGTCCCGCTTTTGAGATCTGAAGACCAGATTCAGACTTTCACTGGTGATATGAAAACCTAAAACATCCAGGTACATCTTCAACCCTCACCGAATTCGGTACGACCGACCTCATCACCATCACCGTCATCACCACCAGGGACACCCCCATTTCCCGTACCCCGGCTTCGACCAGAGCGGACCGTTCGAGAGCCGTGAGGAGGACGATGTGAGTCTGGTTCTCTCTCTATCTCGCTCTCTAGCTCGTTCTCTCTCTCCCTCTCTCTCTCTCTTATTCTCTCACTTTCTCTTTCTCTCGCTCTCTCTCTATTGCTCTCTCTCTCTGGCTTGTTCGTATAGGTAAACGTACTTAAAGCTATTTTTCAGATCGTCCTCGACAACTTCAGAACCAATCGCCATCCAGTTGGCGAATCAGTGATGTTTGGACCTTTCTTCGTCAAGGTACATATTTTGAGAAAACTTATTGTTGAAATTTTAAACAATAAGTGTTTTTTTCAGACTCGCCACCATCGCCGTCATCACCACCATCACAGAAGACATGAGCACCGCGAGATCCGAGTACCAACCTATACCGAGGACGCTTTTGAGGGCCGTAAGTAGCATAGGGACGTACTTTAATTTGCCTAATCGATTCAGGAATCCCCAAGGAGATCAAATCCAACCCGTTCTTCGACGGCCGACACCGAAATCGTGTCGAGGTCGAGGATGTTCTCGACAAGCGACCAGGACAGTTGACCGACTCGATTTTCAAGTTCTTCCCGGCCACCAAGAGAAGGTAGGAATTTTGGCGGATTCAAGAGGCGGGAAGGCAGGGCTATAGATTTTACGTTCACGAATCTTTCTGAGTTTGTTGCAACCAAAACTCGTGACGCGAAGGGCCGCGGGTTAGAAAAGCGGATAAGCGCCGTTCGCGGTGCGCGTCGCGGCGATCGCGTAATGTGTGGCGGTGCGTATTTTGCGCATAGCAGTAGGCGTGTTGCGTATAGGAGCCTTGCGTATTCTAGCTGGTGCTTCGCGCGTGGCAGTAGGTGCGTTGCGTATAGCGCGTTTCGGTGGGATCGGACAGGACGTAGTGGTCGTAGCAGTGTGCGCCTTGCGTGTGGCAGCGCTGCTAAAATCCATAGCTGGTCCATAGCGACCAAAGGCGTAACAAAGCCTTCTCGGTATCTTGAAAGCTTGTTTGAAACGATTACGTTAATAAATATTTGGTTTTTAGCGACCGACGACGGGACGACAAGAGCCACAAAAGCCACAAGAAGCACAAGAAATCGAATAGTGACGAAGTAAGCATTTTATATTTGACGTTAAAACGGTTTAGGTTGAGGGTTCGGGCACGGATTCGGGGATGGATTCTGGAGACGATGACGGCGACAACGTAGTCGAAACGAAGGCTCTCCGTCTGATCCGCTGAACATACGATTATTCCGGGGCCATCCCTCCCGCTTCTTCTCCCTAAATAAAATCATTTGAACCCCCCATTTGTCGATTTGTGTTGTGTGACTGTAATAAAGAGTGTAGCCTGTTACATCAGTAAAAGTCAGACTTAACCGGATAAACTTACTTTAATTTTTAAAAATTTCCTGATATTATCAAAATAAATTTAAACCAAATTTCCATTTTTGGACGCATAATTAGGGTCGAAAACGCCTTAAAAATTCGAAAGCTTTAAAATAACTTGTATTTTTCAGGTTCGAAACTTTAGGGAACTTTTTAAAGCTGCAATTTTTTTTGACGATTGGGCACATTAAAGGGCTGGAGAAAGATGGAATTGCTGAAAGAGCAAAGAGGGTCGCAGCAGGGATGGTCCGCCCCGGAGTCCGATGCGCTAGCCAGTACACCAAAGAGTCGAGTGGAGATGGGCGGCGGAGGGCCCCCACTACCCTGGGCGTTTCGCCCCTGCCGGACGCCATTAGAAATAAAGCAATTTCATGGCGATAATGCTAAAAATGTTGTAAAAACCTAGCTAAAGGTGCAACGTTCTTTGCAACTTTCTAGGTGTTTTGCTGTCCATGCGCCGCTTTTTCAGCCGAGACAGTGTCCCAAAACCCCGTCTGGCTTGACTTAACCGCCTTTTTCCATCCGGCTCAATTTTTACCTCGCGTTCCTGTCCTCGTTCTTGGTATTTTTTTTGAACTTGCTAATGTTTTAGCCATTAAACTGATTTCTTCAAACGAGGGGTTTGGGGCGCTTTCGCGAGGGAAGTTCGATGGTGCGCCGCGGCGGTCCGTCACCCCGACGGACGCCGCCCATCTTCCCCCCCTTTATGGCATATTTGGCTGAGTAGCTTCTGCTAAAAATCGATAATGCGTGCTTGCCAGTCTCTGGCCCCTATCCGTCTATTAGTGCATCGACACATCGACGCATTGACAGCTTGACGACAAACCTTCGCGAGCTTGACGCCTCCCAACTCCCATGCCACGATGCTGATCAATGGGAATGGCTGTCCACCATGCCCAGCACATTTCCCTGCGACGTCATCAAGCTGTGGCTGCAGCATCATCAGGCCTCCATAACCTTCTTGTTTGATGTAGGAGATCTGAAATTTAGCAGGAATGAAAAAAGGAAAATTTTTGGTTTTATCTTTTGGAGATCGTAGCAAATAGAAAACGGTGGAATCTGGGTCACTGGAAAAAGTGTTACGGTCTTGGAAAATCTGAGCCGGGTCCAGTTTTTTCATATAAAAGAAATTGAGCCAGTGCCTACCATTTGTACGATCACCGCCTCGTCCGTAAAAAATTGCCTCAGCCTGTTTTCGGTAAAAAACGGCGTAGAGAACTCTGAGCTGAAATCTCGGCTCCAATTCGTATCGTTGTTTTTCTCGCGGATTTGGCAAATCTAAAAATTACGATTGATTTTTTTGCCTTAACAGATTTTAGATTTACATCACAGGTTCCGTAACGCTAGAATTTGTAAAATCTGGACAGATCCAGAAAAGCATCAAGAAGCCAAAAACGCACTTCTTGAAACGCCGGAATTGTCGAAGATACATCTTCCGCAATGATACCGTCAATGTCACCACAATCCTATAGTGGTCACGTAATGGTTTATAACGTTGTTTACTTACCGTAATCTTCCAACCAATGCCAAAAGTTGCAGCACCGAATACAATCTTATCTTTCGGTATCCCTTGCTCGACAATGTATTGGGCGGCCTCTTTCTAACAAATGGACTGATAAACTTATATTTTTTGAATTTAGTATTGCGTCTTTATATGATACTTTTTTACCTGATGCCAAATCTTTAACGGATCCGTCCACATGCCAGTGATGTTGAATGGCATCAGGACCACAAAACCGACACTAAATTCCTGATTTTTATTTTGTTAGGATTTTGGTACCTCGAGATTTGTCTCAAATCGTAATTGTCAAAAAGCGATTGCTTGTCACCAGGCAGAATTGCTACCACTTGATACGGTGATCCAATTTTCATGGAATTTGCTTCGGTGAGGACTGTTTGGAATTCCTAAAAAAATACGCTGGTTACGTTATTATTTCGTGCTAGTATTCTTATTGTTAGTTTTCAAAATGTTCGCTTAAGGTACCCACCTGAAGATAACTAGCGTAATTCTTCATATCCCCAGCCGAATCAGACCAATCCAAAGCGACTCCGTCAAGGTTAGCCGTTTTTAGGAAGCTGAGGCAAGCGTAGGTGAATTCAATACGGCGAGTGTTGATTTTGAGCTCCTAAAGGAGATGAATCAGCACATTCATGCAGTCGAAAAAGCTTTATAAAAATTCATACCTCAAAAATCGCTGTTCCAAAAGTCCGTCCAGAAATTGAGAGAAGCACCATTAGATCCGGATCAATTTTCTTCAGGGATATCACCTTTTGCACAAAGTTGGCACCAATCCAAGAGTCTTCCTCGTGGAATACAGTCGAATTGGAGGTGCTAAGAGCCTTTAATAAGAGCGGGTGTTTCAAAAATTACCACAAGTTGACCATATCGATAAACTCCGTGCAATCGTCTACCCCGGCTACTACTCTCAATAATTCGCAGTTTTCTGTCGCCCAACCCTGGATTTTTGACCCGCCTAAATTCGATTTAGAAAACTTCCAGAGCCTTATACCCATTTTCGCAGCCATATCCTTGATTTTGGAGCAATATTCGCTACTTACAGAAGCAGCGTTTGCATGGCTAGTCGGCCTGAAAAGACTCTTTGAATAAATTTATAAAAACAGAATCTGCGACGCCTAAATACAAATCAAGGTAATCTACCTTCCCGCTACCTCATCCTGTAGCCATTCAGCCTCTATGATCAAGTGAGTGCACATTCCTGGCTGCCAATCACGGAGGGAGAAGCCATTATTATCAGGTTTTCTGAATTTCGATAAACATGATCCGGAGTAAAAATTCCTTACCTAAATTGTCCCCACAAGTTCATCCAGCAAGGTCGGATGTATTGCGGTCGCGTTGGGGTAAGCCCTAAAAATTTCATAATTCCCGAGACATCGTAAATGGGATCTTGATATCACATTTTATTTCATTTCTTCTGATTCCTTTTTTTTGTAGTTGGAAATCGCTGGGAGTAGTGGGATGACAAAACTTACGAAACCCAAAGGGCTGGTAACCTTGGCTGACCGCAGAATCATGGGCTGGCTTTTGAACATCGGTGGTGACTTCCGGCAAATTTCCAGAAGATTCCAGAAGTGGAATAGCATTGACTACCCCAAATAGGAATACAAATGTTATTAGAAAACGGCGCATCGTGTGCTTGTTATTGGGCAGAATGGTCAACGCGTCATAGCCTGCCATCCCCTGCGGCAAGGGCTGATTTTATCTCATCAAGGTCATCAGATTATGTGTGTTTAAGTGATCTTCACTTGCAATGATTTGAATTGGTCGCGGATAAGTCAAATGAATACGTTAAAAATAAAAATATTTATCCGTAATGATATTGATAGATCAAAAATGTGTGCTCGTGTGGTCTTTCGTTTCGGCAGCCACCGAGCTTCCCGTGATATTTGTACTTCGTGGACAAAGCGGAGAATGAGGGATGCTGCTACGGCAGATTTTCAGGAATATTCTCTGAAAAAGCCTTGTTACGAAGTTTACCAATTTAAATACATTTCCAAACAAGGCTAGGAATTCTATGATCTTCTAGAAAACGCAAAATCCGTCTAGATTTTTCAAAGCGTGTGAGTCTAATTTTCCAGCCAAGCCAACCAAGCTTACCTTTATGCTCTTACAATCACTCGCAATGCATATCCGGAACTTCTCCATCCGGAGCGTGTAGATGAACAAATTTGCCGCCATTTTTATGATGACCAGAGTGTTGACGATAAGTGAGATGGCAACCGCAGTTCGTAACCGGATATCCCGGTAGGCAACGATTGGACAGTCTTGGTAGCAGACCTGAAAAAACAATGAGGATTTTCTGGTTCAAAAAAATTCTAAGGAGGAAGTCTAGCAAAAACTACTACCAAAAGCAGACGAGAAAAAAATATTAATCGGCCGAATTTGGTGCGGTATCAACACTCACCATTACGAAAAATATCATATGCGGCCCCCAGGAGAAGCAGTATGACGAGACGATGATCAGACTTGTCACCAGTAGTCTCATTTTCCGCTTGACATTACCCTCTGCGCTACTTCTCCTCGTTAGAGGATCAGCGCTGAAGAAAAAAATATTATATTTCATTTTCCGCGAAGACTTACCAGCTAGGACTTGACTTCACCATCTTCAGCTGGGCCTCGCTTAGGCAACGAACGATTTTGAAGTACATTGCCTGAAATATTTTATATACAACACTATCAACCAAGGGAACAGCTGTTTTGTAATTTAAATGTATTTAGTTTAGTTTTATAACCCTCACTTGACCATTACTCCAATTGTGTTCATTATAAAAATAAAAGTAAAAAAGGCAGATCCTTTTCTATTTTTGTTTTATGAGCCCTCACTTGGGCTTTTCCAAAATTAGCCACAACCCCCCCTCAACTTTTTTTTTTTTTTTTTATTTTTTTTATTAAAAAAAAAAAAAAAAAAAAAAAAAAAAAAAAAAACCCCCCCCCCTTTATTTTTTTTAAAAAAAAATTTAAAAAATTTTTTTATTTTAAATTTTTTTTTCACCCCCAACAACCCCAAAAAAAAAACAAATCCCTAAAAACCCCCCAAAAAAAAAAACACAAAAAAAACTTTTTATTGGCAAAATTTCTTATTGTGTGCCTGGCGATGGCTCGGACATCTAAGGAAGGACGTTCAGGCAACATGGTCAGTTCAGTAGTGATGTGAACGATTGGATGGGTTATCGTCATAGCCAGCCAGGCACCATCACAGGCCGATGGTGGAGAGTGGGGTAGAGGGTGGGGGGATAAGGAAACGGAGAGGACCAGGTGGGGGGCGAGTGGGAAAGGGGGTTTAGGGTGGGAAGCAACCCTATTTTCTAATCAAAAGAAAAGCGTAATAATACGATAATGGTAGAAAGAAAATTAAGAAGAACAGATGACTATTCGCTAAAATAATTTAAACCAGTCAAACGTCTAGTGGGGGCCGCCTGTCCCCCCCCCCCCCCCCAAAAAAACCCAATAAAGCCTCCCCGAACCCCCCACAATTTTTAATTTTTTTTTATTTTTTTTTTTTTTTTTTTTTATTTAAAAAAAAAAAAAATATATCTTCTTTTTTTTGGGGTTTAAAAAAAAAAAAAAAAAAAAAAAAAAAAAAAAATTTTTTTCCCCCCCCTTTTTCCCCCCTCTTCTTTTTTTTGGCAATTTGATTGCTAACGAGCAATATTTTTAGGTAAAAATCGTGAACAGCTATTTTGCAAAAACTCACCACAGTAGCCAAAATCGGCAGGAAAAATAGTGGAAATGTCGTAGCGCGGAACGGGAATGAAAAGTAGAACTTCATTGAGCAGGTCGGGTCCCGGAAACCACCATCGGGCAGTGCCCAAAACCTGTAAAAACGTTTTGTTTGTTTCACTAATCCCTTGCAAACACGTTTTTATAGGTTTTAAGATGCCTGTTAGATGTTTTTTTTTGAATCGTCGAGGGTTTTATTAACTTACCAAGCAAAAACGTAAGCATGTGGCAGCACCCATAATCCCACCAATACGTATCGCATCCGCCCATTTGTTACCCATATCTGAAAGCCAACGTTTTTTGAGCCTAGAAAATGTAAAAATAAAACGAGAAGAGTGATAAATGTGGACGGAAGAATTTGGGACCGAAGGATACAAAATGATACCTTATGCCTCAACGGCCACATGGTGCCACACCAATGATTTAACGTTAGAATAAATAAATGCCAATTCGAGCAGAGCATCGAGGAAATCTGAAAATTGCAAATTTCCATGTTAAAGAATGGTACGGAGCGCTCCAAATGACGGTAAAAAGCGGTGAGCTAAGACCAAAATTATACCTTTAACGCCTCAAACAAAGCCAATGTGCATAGGTTGGTGGTTTTGTGGAGTCCGAGGTAGATTATCACGTAACTCGTCATACCCTCTAAAAATATCGAGTTTGCTCGACCAGGAAATTATTGACGTTTGGTTTTCCATAGCTTGAATTCAGCCGCATAACGCCTCGGTTTCAACCTCAGTTAAACTAGATCAAAACTCACTCAAACAAATATTAATCGATGTACAGAGATCAGCTGCCGCAAGAGACACGCATAATTTGAGGTAGGGAGACACCGGGCTTGGCAGGTTACGAGCCGCAGCCACCAACAACCCGTTTCCCACTACTGAGATCTAAAAATATCCATATTTCCGGAATGCAAAATCCAATTTGTCCTCAAAACCCCATCATGAAAACTCACCAATAACAATACATTCTGAATCGGCACCGTCACTTTGTACAAGGAAGCCGCAAACTCCTGATCTTCCGTAAAAATGTTGCGTTGTGGGGTGAAGGATAAACCATTTAAAGACGACGAATTTGGGCTCATTTCTGAAAAAGTAGACAAATAGACAATTCATCAAAAGCGAAAAGGCTCAAAATAAAAACAATATGGAAGGAAAAAGAATGCAAAACTGCAACAAAACCGTGTACATTGTACATCGATTCCCCACCCATTCCGGAAGAAATTAGCCAAATCAGAGCCTGAGTGACCCAAGTAACCATCAGCAGCCCAACCAGACTTGAGTTTGATGAGTTCGAAAAAGCCAAAGGAAGTTTTTTGTTCCTTCTCGTGCCTGCCCCGTAGAAAAACCCTAGGGTGTGTTGAAAGGCTTCCCTGGGAAATTGAATTGAGACCCGGATTCGTAGCCGAAACCCGACTATTTGGGGAAAGAGAGAAAGAGCAAGAGAGAAAGAGAGAAAGAGAGAGCGAGAGGGAAAAGCTATATCTACAGAAAAACAGGGAAGACCATAATGGCCGGCACTTTACCTTGGAAGCCAAAGTAATGGTGTAGTCTGGGAGAATTCGGATTGCGCAAATCCAAAATTGGTATTTTTGAAAAAGGTAGCATCGGTCCGCGAGTACATCTATAATTTTCAGTTTTCTGTTGCAATCGCGCGAAGTTCGTCAAAAGCTCAAAATTACCACCTGAAAGGCGACTAAACCGGTCGATTACCTCAAAGGCTACCTTTCTCAAAAAGCTAACGGATTCAGGGTTTAACAGGAGGATCTGCTGTATAGACAAACCGTTAGAGAGTGAGAGAGAGAGTGATAGCCAGGTAGGGGGCACGAGTGTGATGGAGAGGAACCTAACATATCTAATGTAGAAGACGCGTACCACGTAATTAGGATAAATTCCTGAAACCAGGAACCAACAACACCGAAACAACCCATGAAATATGGACCCCGCTTTGTCAAGTGACCGATGGGTTTTTGCCAGAAAAAGTGTGCCAAGTGATGGAGGTGATGCCTCCCCTGCTGCCCCTAACGAAAAACACGGCCCTTGAGGCTAACACACACACACACACCCACAAGTTCCGTGCCACTAAAGGCCCAAAAGGACCCAATGGCAGACAACAAAAAAGTTACCCCACCAACACGTGCTCCACTTTTTGAGGTGAATTCATAATTATTGCTCATCTCGGAGGTGAACGGTGGTTTCGTCTCGAATTACGGGTTTTTGAAGACTTTAAGCTGCAAACAACTTTTTGGAGAGTTTGCGTGGGAGGTTATTATAGTATCAGGTTGGAAAGAAAGTAATGGCACAAAATCTTTAAACCGCTGTAAAAACTCGCAGAAACGTCCGATTCGAAAGTTTGTTATATGGTTTGGTAGATCTTCGGATGCTCTATCACGAGACGCCCCTCAAAACACCCAAAAACTAATGTACGCGAAAATACAGGCCTCAGAAGTTTCACGGAAAATTAGGTGAAAGCTTCTAAGCGAGATATCTCTGCATACAGGCATTTGCATACGATACCTTTAACGCCAATCGATAGCCCTCGAGGAGTAGATATCGATAAATGTTGAGATCATCAAAATTGGACACTGGATGGCTGAGATATGGCCTCTAGAATTTTGGGCCCGCTGTTAGAACTTTTCTCGAAATCCCATACATTTAGGCCTGCGCGAGCCAAAAACGGCTGCGTTTGCTTCAGCTCCCGAACCAAAATCCACAAAATGCATTGATTTTGGAAGGCCCATATCTCGGCCATCCAGTGTCCGATTTTGATGATCTCAACATCTATCGATATCTACTCCTCGAGGGCTATCGATTGGCGTTAAAGGTATCGTATGCAAATGCCTGTATGCAGACATATCTCGCTTAGAAGCTTTCACCTAATTTTCCGTGAAACTTCTGAGGCCTGTATTTTCAAAAATATAAATAAATCTCAATATATCTCAAAATAATCATAAATCTCTAAAATATCAAAATTTCAAATCGGACATTCCTGCGGGTTTTCACAGCAGTTTAAAGATTTTGTGCCATTACTTTCTTTCCAACCTGATACTTTTTGCAAAACATCGAGCCTAGCGGCCATCGGGCCTTCGTTTAGTTCGGGTCTAGTTGCCTAGTTGCTTCGGGTCGCTTCAGCATAAGTTGCCTTAAACCCTAAAAAATAGCCACAAATAGCAAATTTGAGAATGCAAAGTCGGAATTTTGTTGTCGGGCGGGTTAAACAAGAATTTAGCCGGTAGCAGGCCGATTGCACTTGTTCAAAAATCTTAAAAAAATTTTAAATCGTAACACGAGTGCGGTTTTCTGTTCAGGAGCCAAGTGATTTTTTAGATGTTTAAACTGGCGGCATGCAAAGGTCCCGTTAACAATTAAGGGGTTTTCGGTTGAAAGGACGCGAAGGATTGACCTTGAATTTCAGTGAACCCGGCCAAATTCCTTTGCTTGATTTCCATCAGTAGTGATCAGTTTGCACAGACTTCCGGTTGCTGTTTTTTGGGGATAGAAAGATCGGTTACCGCAAGCAAGGATTTCGTGTGCTAGACTACAGTCTTTTGGAAGAACCACTCAGAATTCTATATTCAAAATCGATTAAAACAAACCAAACAGAAGTTTTGGGGTGATAAACTGAAATTTTTTAGCATTCTTGATAAGTCCAGTAAAAAATTGGAAGATGATGGAACTACGTGCCAGGCGGGAATCCACCTCAAGACCAGATAAAAGAACGCCCTCGGCCTACGGAACCCCCCCCATCAAAAATTAAAGAAAGCCCGCCGCATCAAAAAATCTTTGGGAAAACCTGACCGCAAAAATAAAGGGGTTTCACTTCCGGAAGCTTGAAATTGCCGCCATTTTCTTCCAAACCCCCAAACTTGATTAGATTTTCGCAAAACGACGTTACGAAAACCTACAAATGACATCCGAGACCAGTTGGTCGAGCGAATTACCAAAAACTACAAGATAATCCGGAATCCTTGTATAGATGGGCGGACTTAACAATAGGACGGATTGGCTTGCCTGTAGGTGGTATACATAAGTGCTTATTTACGCAGGTAAACTGCACCAAAAGTGTTCAAAAATGGTCTATTCCAGGCATGTCTGAGGGTAAGTAATTTTAGATGTCGAGTTAAGTACGAAAGAGGATGAGAATTCGGTGTCAAAAATAGAATTCCGTAAAAAAATAGTTACATCCAGATGAAATCTTATTTTTATCAACGATCAATTGCAAAAATAGGCTTCCCAAACGGTTGGGCTCGACAGCTACGAGCCACACCAAATTATGTACTCCGCAAAGCGCGGAATTCGGTGGCATAGGCGAAAATGGCGATTAAGGCAAAAGTAACGAAATTCTACTTATTGTTCGATATTGCGATACTATTTCGTCTACCACCGATTATCCAATTCCCAAACCTAATTTGCACCCCCGAACCAAACATGTTTTGAGCCGATCATATGCTCGGGTCAAATTTGCCCAATTCCCTCCCCGACTCGCCGGGCCCATCAGGGCGCCAAATATGCCCTCGGGGGCTATTCTGGGCGGAGAAGCCAAAAAGAAGTGGAAAAACCGGAAAGACGCTTGGACTTGGTCCAAGAAAGTGCAGGCAGCAAATTGGCTTGGTTATATCGTTGATATTCGAGAATGTGTATGTTTTTATCGGAAAATTAGTTGGTTCGGTGGTGGCAAGAGTATAGTAGCGGAAAAAAGAAGTAAGAACACGCAGACAAATAAGATCCTTCCTAAAAAATTTAAAATGAATTTTTAGAACGCTTAAACCCACAAAAATTTGTAATTTGGTCAATTTACAAAAGTTACCGTAATTACGGCAGGAGGGAAAACGGGGGAAAACGGAAAATCGGTTTTGCATCCTAAATACTAAATTTAAACTTAGAAAATGCTGAAAAATGAATTTACCAGGAATAAGTTTTTTGGAAATTTTGGTTTTCAACGTTTTCGGAAAGAGGCCGTAATTACGGAAAGCGGAGCCTTGCGGAAAAAAACGAAAAACTGAAACCGAAAATTACCCGTTCAAAACGACCTCGACTCGAAATTGTCCTCAAAACAGTTGCGAAGCCTGAAAAATGGAAAAGCCCACCCATTCCCGGGGCTGTTTATTTATTGACCATGTGGGGAAATGGGGCAAAAATGACCAAAGCGTCCCCAGGGAGCCGAGGGCTCATTCAGAACGACTTTGTGACATATCATCCTCATATATTTCTTTTTGGGGGTAGTACATAGTGCGCGGACGGAGAAAACAATTTCTTAAGGAGCTAGAAAGTGCCAGAATAGATGAACTCGACTAGGTCTCGACGCAACGGTGCAAAGAATTCGATGTTTCTCTCTTTCTCTCTCTCACTCACCCTCTCTCTCTCTCTCCCTCTCTCTCCGCCTCTCTGTCTCTCTCTCTCTTCC